GGGGTGGGGTGACCCCCGCTTTGGGATGGGGGGTGGGTGGGGTTGTTGGGGCAGAGCCAGGGGGATGTGGGGACATCAGTGAGGAACATTGGGACATCACTAGGGTCACGAGAGCATTGCTGGGAGCATGGGGTTGTCAATGGGGACATCATTAGGGACAGGGGGACATCGGTGACAACATTGCTGGGGACATGGGGACATCTGTGGGGACATGGGCACATGACTAGGGACACGGGGAGATCAGTGGGGACATCAGTGGGGACACTGGACCAGCACTAGGGTCGCGGGGACATCAAAGGGATGTCATTAGGGACATAAGTAGGAACATGGTGACATTGGTGGGGACATGAGAATGGCACCCTGGGGGATGGTGACAGCTCCCATTTGGGACATGGTGGGGTGAGGATGGCACCAGGGACATGGGGACATCACTGGGGACATCGCTGGGGACATGGGGACATCGCTGGGGACGTGGGGATGGCGCTAGGAGGTGGGAAAGTGGGTGCTCGTGCTGTCCCCAGCTCCCTGATGTCCCCCACGCCCTGGATGTCCCTCACGTCCCCAACACGCCTGATGTCCCCAACATCCTAATGCCCTTGATGTCCCCAGTGTCCCCCAACTGTCCCCAGGATCAGGGTGGGATTAGGGGGAGAGCGGGGAAGCGGGTGCATCCCAGCTCCCCGAAGTCCCCACCACCCACAATGTCCCCAATGCCCTTGATGCCCCCAGTGTCCCCAAGTGTCCCGAGGATCGGGAGGGGGGGATCAAGGGGGAGATCAGAGAAGTGGGTGCTCGTGCAGCACCCGGCTCCCCGCTGTCCCCCATGTCCCCAGTGTCCCCCAGTGTCCCCAACGCCCCCGCTGTCCCCACGTCCTGCAGTCGCACTGGGTGCCCGTTCCGTGCAGCACCCGGCTCCCTGATGTCCCCCACGTCCCCGGTGTCCCCAGGGTCCCCCCGCTGTCCCCACGTCCTGCAGTCGCACTGGATGCGGGATGCGGCGGGGCGGCGGGTGCCCGTTGCCGTGCAGCACCCGGCTCCCTGATGTCCCCCACGTCCCCGGTGTCCCCAGCACCCCCGATGGCCCAGACT